ATCATTGATCTGAGAAAACGGTTGTATACAATCGACAAAAAACATAAAATAGACACCATGCATAACGTTTGTACATATAAGAGATATGTTTAAGATGTGGTTGATGGTATATTAATGGCTATTATTTATCAGTGACAAGAGCAACAAAGTTTAGTTGCAACGCTTTATATAAATAACTATTTTAATTTTTCGTTAACTTTTTGTCATGGCGGCTTAATATTATTGTAATGAACTGTCAGAGAAAAAAGCCTTATGCACATTATTCTTATTCAATCTGAATATATGAATAATGCATGGTAACTGTCATTTACATTAAGCGATATATTTGCATAAGCTTCCTTGATAGCCTCGTCTGTGCTCCACTTTCTAAATGCGAAAGATCGATGAGATGCCTGGATGTTGGCAACTAGGGATCTCCGAAAAAAAAAACATACAGAAAGTAGGCATGTGTGTATGCGGATGAGTTTCAAGTGCAGGGATGTCTACAGTTACAGAAGACAAAACGCACTTCGTCATATACATGAAACACGCATAAAAAACATGCATACACAATAGTGTTATTATGGGTAAGTACATATGCACATACATTGTCAGGTACATACGTTCCTGTATATGTATTTGTTGGTATGTATGTTTATATTTAAAAGCTTTTATATATTTTTTCGTTTTCAGGGTTTATTCTTTAAGAATAAAATAGCACTGAAAAAAAAAAAAACTGTACACATATTCTGTTATTTCATTGTAAGGTACTAATTATTTTCAATCTTAATCATTGTTTCCTTAAGGGATTTTGTTCATTACAGCAGATAACTCTCTTCCTTCCTTCCTTTCTTCCTTCCTTCCTTTCTTTTTCTTTTCTTTCTTTCTTTCTTTCTTTCTTTGGTATTTTTCATTTATGTAGCTTCCATGTACCCTTGCTATAAAGATTTCCTTGGCATTTGTTCTGATGAGCTTTCCTCTTTGTTACCCAAACTTCATAGATTTAAGCGTAGTACTATGTTAGAAGCAAGGTCTCATCATTTTATAGTTGAGATGGCTGCATATAATCGGATGTTCTATGCTAAAAGTTTCTTCTATCGCAATTCTCGCTTGTGGAACTCTTTTTTTGTTTCTTGATTTAGAGACAGTTTCGATCTTAAAAAATTTAAATGAAATGTCAGTCATTATTTTCTCTCTCCTTAATTCCTGTTCTCTTATTATTCTCTTACTTTAATAATGTTTGCTTTTTCACATATTTGTCTCACACTCAGTAACACCCCTGCGTCTTAGTGGCTTTATTATCTTGTTTGGGATGGATTGATTTAAAGAAAACAACAAATATTTCAGAACACGTCAGGTCTAAAATAAATCTAGTGGAATGGTTCCTGGGCATATTGAAACCAAATTAAATACATTCATTATATTTACCGAAGTTAAACATTGCAAATAAACATCAGTTAATCCATATCCTACTGGCGTAGGTATTAAATATCTCCTTATATATATATATATATATATATATATATATATATATATATATATATATATATATGTTTGTGTGTGTGTATGTTTGTGTGTGTATTTATCAGTATATCGTCACTCAAGCAAGTTTCATTGAATAATATAGACATATTATGTCTATTTTTATAACAATCCGTTCTGGTTCAATAATTAGCTTCTTGATGTTAAGTTGAAATTTATGAAGGAAGGAGCCTTAGTTTTTGTTAACCCAAGTACTTTCAGTTTCCTCTAAGATCATCCTGAAGAGCGAATCGCAAGAGTCATTACGAATCTAGTAGCAATGATTTAAAATTTATTTTATCAAAATGTTATGCCATGTTGCATTTTTAGCATCTCTGGTTAGCTCCTTTATATTGTGGACTCTTGTTTACAAAACATCATAACTACAACGGATAAATTTAAAATTTCAAAATAGTTATAACAGAGCGAGTTCACGAGCGTTTACGAAAATCACCATCACAACGATCACAGTTACATTAAATATGTCTTCGCCATTCACCCCTCTTGCTCAATAACAAATTTAGTAACTTTTATTCTTGATTAATGCCTTTAATCATTTTGATAGGCCCTTACAAGATCACTACATAAATTGATAGGTATTTTATTCAATTCCTCCTTGACAATACCTTCTAGTTCCTCCAAATTTGAACGACTTCTTCCACTTTCATTTTTATTCAAGTATGCCCATAAATTTTCAATGGAGTTTAGGTCAGAACTTTGTCTGGGGAATGCCAATACCTTAATCTTGCTGTCATATAAATATTTTGTAACAATTCATGTCGTGTGTTTTGGGTCATTGTCATGTTGGAGCGTCCAGTGCACATTGTTTTATACTATTCCTAAAAGACATCTCTTTTTCCCTGTACTCTCACTAGTTCTCATGATCCAGAAACAGCAAAACAACCCCAGAGCTGAATGCTTCTACCACCGTGTTTAATTTTAGGGAGAGTGATATTTGGTTTTTGAGTTTTATTCACTTTCCTCCAGACATAACGGGAGTTAAGGCGACCAAGTAATTGTAAATATAATTTGTTTTCATCATAAAACAGAGTTCCATTATGTACTCCCAACTTCTCGACGGCTTCTAGCATAAGCTAATTTGCATTTTAGTTGTTTAGTTTTAAGCAAGGAAGTTTTCCTTGGGCGACAAGCTCGAAGTCCTGCTCAGTGAAAGCATCTAATGACTGTTTTCGTTGATACAGTCAACCCTGACGTCTTTACATCATTGATAATGTCTTTTGTGATTAAGTGAGGATTCTTCGAGTCATCTCTAACAACTTCTCTTTCCATTATGGTTGTAATTAACAGTTTTATGCCAGTCCTTAATTTATTCTCATCTCAACGAATCTGCTGTACTTAATAATTCTATGAATTATCGATCTGGAACATTTAAATGCTTAAAAACTGTTGTATATTCATCACCTTGTATGCACGCATCAACTATCAGAGGTTTATGTCGAGTTCTGCCGTCTTCTCAATGGTTACAGAATGAATGAGTTATTGCGTTACGTGAGACTCATATATTATGTTCTTCATTTCCTTTAAGAATGTTATATAATCAGGCTAATACTATTTTATTTTCAAAAGGTGTTTGTATTAAATGTTAAATTAAGTGAAACTAGAATAACAACTAATGACCTAAAAATCGACGATAGAGTGAAAAAACTGCATAAAACCAAGGTTTCATTACAGTGAAGGACGACAAGGAAATATTTCCTCATAATCAACAGTTCCGGCCACTAAATCCTTCTAAAACAACATCGGTAAAAAGTGCAAGGCAATGATCGAACGAACGTGTGACTATACTAGGAAAGCACAAGGAATCAACCAGTGGAGGTACACAACTGATACTGTCAACTGGTTCGCCAAAATAAAAAAAATAGAAAAACGAATACACCTTTATGCATTTTGATATCTGCAATTTTTACGCATCGATCATAAGAAAAATCTAGTTACGGCGGCTATATACCTAGCAAAAATTATTGCACTATCAAGGAAGTTAGCATCATAAAACAAAACTAAAAACATATTTGATTTCAAGGTGGTTCCATTTGAACAAAAAATAAGAATAAAAAAATAAAAAAAACGAGATTTCTGTAGTGATGGGGGCTTTTGAATCTGCAGAAGTTTGTGAATTGGTTGGTGTACTGCTATTTCGAGACTCAGATACACTTTTGATATCAACACTTGCCTGTATATGGTTGATGGGATTTATCTCCTACATAATACCAACCTACAATAAAAACCAACAGAAGAAAAGAAAACTAACCATATTCAAGGATCACTGATTAGTTATTACTACTAATATTAAAGCCAAGGTGACAAACTTTCTGGATGTCACTTTTGACCTATCCTAGGGAATATATAATTCTTACACTAAAAAACTGTACAACCATAGATACATTAGTAAGGAACTGCTATGCCTTTATGTTTAATGATTTTTTCTTAAATATTTCAGCGTCTCCAATTCTTATTTATATTTATTTTAATTCTTCTTTCTTTATCCCCACCCTATAATTTTGTAACTCGAATCCAGATCTATGCCTTAATATTATATTCTAATTATATAATTATTAAAAGTAGAATTAATATACTCTATAACGTTACTTCCACCAGGCCCAGGATTTTTGAAAATATTAACGATCGTAAAGAACAGTTCATCAGCATTATAAGTACCTGAAGATTGTACTGGACATGAAACTCCGAGTCGTATTTTCGACCTAAAGTAATCTCTCTCTCTCTCTCTCTCTCTCTCTCTCTCTCTCTCTGTGTATATATATATATATATATATATATATATATATATATATATATATATATATATATATATATAAGAAATATAATTTTAAGGTGTTCTATATTTATATTTAAGGAGAAAGTGCACAGTATCAGAGATAGAGCGTATGTAAAAATGAATGTAAAAGTGAAAATTGAAGTCAACACGCAGAGGTGACAGGCTGTTTCATGCTAGACGCAATCGTCAGTCCGCCTGACGATTGCGTCTAGCATGAAACAGCCTGTCGCCTCTGAGTGTTGATTTCAATGTTCACTTATATATATATATATTCCTTAAACATCGTATTTTCTTGATTTCAGATGAAAACTTGGAAAGTAAGAAAAGTAATTCGCCAATAACTACGAATAAAACATGTTAAAATTCTAAATTGTAGTCTATGAAATATTACTCTAAAAACTAGATTGATGTTTCAGTGTTACAGCTGGCTGGTTGTTTTTGTTTAGTGGCATATCAACCTCTCTGGGTTATTTAATGCTGAAATCTAAATATTCTGTACGCAATCCTATATTTCCTTTCGAGATAATAATTCTTTTATTGATACAATCATATGAATTAACACATAGCTGGGTGGAGAAGGGGTGGATTCATACGTTTCCCAAGAATATTTGCGCGTAAGTTAATAACGAACGCGACCAGAATTGGAACTCAACTCTCTGATTAACAGTTTGGAGCCATTATCCATTACGCCAGACGCGAATTCAAGCTTACAGCACCTGGTATTCCCAAGCGGTCCCCCATCTAGGTACTAGCTATGCTCGACGTAACTTAACTTCGGTGATCGTAGGTGAACAGGTGTTTCAATGTGGTGTAGCCATAAGCCGTCGCTAGTATTTCGGTTTAAAATTTAAGATTGATGTAAGGCTTGAAACCATTCAGAATAAATTGCTTGTTTTTTTTTTGTACATTTACATATGACCGTCAGATTGATATTATTTGTAAAGCTTTACTAGAATATTTAAGTATAATGAACACATACAGTTACCACGCGAGAAATAAATATATCGATTCTAGCCTCAAATCGTTAATTGAATGATGTACACCAAAAGCGAAGAACAGAATTCACAAAGTCACAACGTCACTCGGACATCATTTCACTACTTTTATCCAGGTTACAACCGAATAACATCTGTAAACCTATTAATTCTACTTTTGATGATGTGAAAACTAAATACACAATTAGATCATGCAGGTAGAAATATTGTTGGCATACATCTGACTGATGAAAAGATTTTCAGAAAGAGAACGCGAAATGTACTTTTAGGAGAAGGTCATTACTTAGGGCATGATGCCTGAACGGATATGACGACATATAATCACCAGGTAAAAATGGAGAAAACTATATAGATATTAAAAACTTATGTGCAAACACTTACAATTTTAATTCGAATATTTAGCTTTGAACATGATTTTCTTTAAAGATTCGTTGCGGAAACGCCTTAAAATAGACTTAAGATATTTGTCATTGTTATACACATTACAGGCAAACAATATATCGAAATCTATGCCATTGTTCGAGCGAAGTCACTTGTAGGTCGAGGCATTGAGTGGGGTTTTCTTATCACCTTTTTCATTCTTATAATATTATTTGTTATTTTGGTACTAAACTGCATTTCCCATTTGCACAAGAGTAAGTGTCATGATTCTGACGCAACTATGCACATGAAGTCATGATTTGCACGGAGATGCGTGACAAAAACGTTGTCTAAAAATAGCTACAAATTTTCTTATTCTCTAATGAAAATAGATAAATAATAGCAACAATCATTTTTTAAACATAATATTCTTTTTGATAAAAAATTAAAAAAAAAATAATTCCAGGTGATCATGATGACAGTGATGATAAAAACGTGATAGAATTGAATATCAAAAACTTATTGTAATTGTATAAAGAAATCGTGAAGATAAAGTTAATTGTTTCCAGAGAAAGTATATTGACATTCTCAAGATATGATACGAAAATGGATTTCGAATGACAAAATACATGGCAATAAACATCAATGCTGCTCTTATTTTGCACGCGATATCTCAAGTTGTTTTGGTACTACCAACTCGAATATATCTATTTTTCTTTCTTTATTATTCTATATCAGAAAAAAGCTGGAGAATCAGTTAAAAGAGCAGAGAGAAAAAGTCATCGTTTGTCTGAATTGAAGGTATCAAGAGCATTCTGTTTTCCGTTTCTTGGCGAGAAATGATTCTATCGTGATATAAACCAAACCTTACATTAATTGTAAGAATAGAAAATGCTTGATGACTAATGGGGCTTATTATGCAACTATAAAAAAAAATAAAAGTGTTTGGGACATGCACTATATTGTGATGACTTCAGGATTTTGCAGGTTTAGGTACAAAAAACAAGTCTTATTTTCATATTATGCAAATATAATTAGTCTATCCAAATATATCAAGAACCTGATGTGTCAAGGTAAGAGACCCTCGATGATCAGGTAATGAATACTCAGAAGTGAACACGTTTGTAGAGTGGAGATTAGAAAATGTGAATTTAACCTACAAGCATCAAGTTTGGTCGCCAAAATAGATTTCTTAATAAACATACTAAATTATTATTGTAATATAAATAGTATATGTATAAATTACGTACCTATGAACTGATAACTGGTTATGTTAGGAAAAATAATTGGAGGTGTATAGCTTGAAAATATGTTGATTAATCAGTGATAACTGCATATTTATCCGAAACATTTTGCATCAGTGGTTTAACCTGTGCTTATATATATATATATATATATATATATATATATATATATATATATATATATATATATATATATAGAGAGAGAGAGAGAGAGAGAGAGAGAAAGGGTAAGTCTAAAATTAGCAGCACTCACGCTATATCATGTATTTAGGCAAGAATGCGCATAATTTTTGCTTTTCATCGTGTGTGTATATATATACGTGTGTGTGTTTATAATAGATGTGTATATATATGTGTGTGTTTGTGTGTGTGTATAGATATAAAAAGAGAGAAGAGGTCTGTTTTTTATTCAAGTACTTTTGACTGTCTCAGTCATTATCAAGAATTTTTGTCAAATACATTCAATTGAATGGAGAATGACACACAAACATATGCATATACACACTTACACGCATACACGCGCACATATACACATACAAGCATACTCGACCATGTATATAATATAATGTATAATATAACGTATAATATAATATAACGTATATATCGAGAATAAGAATTAAATCAATAAAGTTTATTGTATACAAATAATATGTTTTATTTTATTTATATATTTTTCCAATATACGGATAATTTCTTCCATATTCGAATCAAATTTGTCAAGTAACTGTCCAACATTGTTATTCAACAATCTCTATTCATTATCAGCAGTGAATATCCATATTTTGGTTGTTTGTAAAACGATGATTGATATGCGTGCAAAATGCAATAAATATCGTTAAGTAGGAAGTGAGCCTGTGAGAGAATGTGGTAGTTGTGTAACCAACGTAATTAATTATTGTTATCATTATGTTGTTTACGAATTCGTGTTCCCAGAGAACACATAAATTCGTAAACCACATTATTTTTACAAAGGGAGCAAGAATTAGGTTTGGATGTTTTGGCTAGAAATTTTAAACTTTTATTGTATAAGATAAACGTATTTATTACAATCATTAAGTGATATGTCTCGGTGAATTATATTTTGTTGGCTTTTCATCTTGTTTATTGTTAACATGCTTCAAGTTACGGTAGAATTAGTTAATGATATATTTGTTTTTGTCTATATGAGGACAGCGGTTTATATTACTTTTTGTAAAATATGTTTTATCGAATTTTACGGAAAAACAAAAATAATTTAAGCACTTCTTATATAAACAACCCACATATGTTTTGGCACAAAGCAAATCAGTCTCTAAAATAGATCAGAATTGGGCTTTCGCAGTATTTCAATCCCCAGAAATTAATTTAAAAAAGATTTATGTATCTTCCATGCATAAAGGTTAAAGCTCTATGATGTTATAATGTTAATTATTTAAATTTATGTGTTTGACTATGTAACATCATAATTAACAAAGACTATTTGATCTGAGAAAATCAAATGAAACCAAAGTCGTTTTCGTGTGTCAAAGTTTAATTCCCTGACACAAGCGATCATAGCAATTCTAAACATCCTCTATTTACGTTTATCTTGATTTCACTGGCATCTGATGAAAATAGGCGCGAATGTTATTAAACGCAATAAATCTAACAATATGAATTCTGCAACACTTAAATGCAGACAGACGTTAATTCTTTGTTGAATATATGCAGAATATTATTAATCACATTAATTAGCTGAACAGCTATAATTAATTTCGGCTGCTGTGCAGTACGATGTAGTTTTCTTTTCGGAAGAATAATTCTGGCACCTATTACCGTTTGAAATTGCAAACCAAATTTCTAGGTAACACCCTGATATATAAAATACAATGTTTTTAGTACCAATGCATTATAAGCTCCAATCCACTTCACATTCTTTGAAAAGTTTAATAATTCTGACACGCCAATATAAAACAACCGTTTCCCTTTTACATGGTTTCTACTATGGAATATTTCACCGATGTCTAATATTTTTTCGGGATCCTTCTGCCACAATTTTAATATTATGTAAATGCTATCACCACACCTGATTCGGTTGCTTTAATTGAATCTTGTACATTTACCAAATTTGACTTCTGAAATAAATCATAAACTACTTATATCGAGAAAGCTGTATGGAATGCGTAATCATATTTGAACCATTAATAATATTTAGACGGTAATTCTCATTTCCTATGAGAGATGATATTTTTCTTTTATTTTGAGCTTCAGGCGGAACATCTGTTCTTTCAAATTCTTCAATACATGTTATTCTTAGACGAAAATACCGCTAGCAACGAATTATTTATTAATCTTTCTGAACTAATAGGTTTGTAATTATTACACTGTTACGATAAATATATATGCACATGCATGTTATAAAAAATTCAAATAATTCATTCCGCCACGCACTGAAGCCAAAGGATCATAATTTTTACATTCATATCTATCTATCTATCTATCTATCTATCTATCTGATAAAAAAGTTATCCTTATTTGACTTGATTAAGAAATTAGTTAAGAAACTTTGCAGGAAACGTTTCATGAATATTGATAATTTATTTCTTTTCATTAATAAAAATATTACGGATTATTGCGCAATATTTCATGTGTGAACTAAGAATAACAAATCCCCGTCCATCATACCGCTGTTTGTCTTTAGAATAACTTCAATAATTTGAAATAGATATATTTTATGTTTTTAATTGATAGGATTTAGACTGAGGTTTTCGGTTTGGGTTGGTTTTGTTTGTTTTACGGCATATCAACCTCAGTGGGTTATTTAATGCCGACAAGATTTTTATTGCTGGTAATATTTTTCTTCAAAAATGTATTATTGGTAATTTTTTCTCCAAAAATGTATTGCTGGTAATATTTTTATCTTTTAAAATATATTGTTGGTATTTTTTTCTTCAAAAATGTATTGCTGGTAATATTTTTATCTTTTAAAATATATCGTTGGTAATTTTTTTCTTCAAAAATGTATTGCTATTTTTGTTCTTCAAAAATGTATTGCTGGTAATAAATTTTCCTAAAAAATTATTGCTGGTGCTAAAACCTATTCTTACGCTTTCATACTGTTTTGACTACAGTTTGGGTGTTAACTACTTGGACCCTAACGGGTGCTACCACCTCCGGGTCAGGGAGAACCTGGGAACACCAACAATTAAAAGGTGATTCCATGCTCCTCAACACCTCCTGATCAGCGGCCTTGGTGTTGGAT